AAGTAGAGTACACTTCAGAATCTCAATAAGGACCCTTCTTCACTTGTCAATGAATGCAGATTGTGTTAACTAGAGTCCTTCTTCCTATGGTTGTTTGAGGGAGAAGAGGCAATGATATGTAGGGTTTCTAGGCCTGCTAGAAGTCATATAGAGTCCTGTTCCTATTTTGCAAGTCTTAAATCTTCTACAGGATCCTCTATACAGAAACTTCTCCTATCTCAGAAAGTTATACTATAGGCAGGTAAAAGTTTGTGTGATGTGTATATTTGTGTATGTGTGTGTGTGTGGATAGATATGGGGGAGTTGTGTGTATGGCTTATATGTTAATTAATGTCACAGCTATGCTCCCAAATACTGTGGCTCATTCTTTATTGCTACTTGCCTCTGTTGGAATTACTTCAGAGTTTTCTTGAGAGAAAGCACTTTTTTGTAAGTCTTTTTATTACCTGCTTAAAGTTTATAGTTTCCTCATGAATGTAGATAATTCAATGTTATGGTTGTACAGATTTTTAAACACCTTTCTTTTTTAAAACTCAATAATATATAAAATATTATGAAAATCTTTTCCATATCAGTACACTTGAATCTACCATGTCTCTCATGACATCTGGATTTAGCAATCATTCTGCTCCTGCCTGCTTTATATATCCAGAAATTCTCCATTGTTCTAAACTGGTGTTGGCACCATTTCCAGTTGATAACTATTGTTATCAATATAGTTTGTTTTACATTTTTTTTGTTATTCATATGGGCTATGGGGTATATTCAGATGGCTTGCAATTTTCTATGGAGGGAATTTTGGGGGGAGATGGGTAAGATAAAGAACATGAAGACTTTTCCTTCCTTTCTTCCACAGACTAAAAGCTGACTGAGCTTAAAAAGAGTACTATTTGTAAAACTCTACTGACAGAACATTCCAGTAGTTACATGTAGAAACCTTATAGCCCTGAAAAAGACTCTGGTATATGTTACCTGCTAATATTTATGGGAAAAATGAAGTATCACAAACCCTAATATTTATGGGAAAAATGAAGTATCACAAATGAGGACAGTAAGGATTAGTTAAAAAATCATACTTGGAAAATTGACTATTGTTAAATAAGTGAATATAATTATACTTGCACATCATAATATATATACACACAGATATATATAATATAATGTTTATATATAATACATAATAACAGATAAATAACATATTCTATACAGATTACATGCATATAAATATCAATAAATTATTGCAATATTGCAATATTGCAATCAATATAAAAAAAGAAACCAAGAGAGACGAATGTAAATTATCTTAGGGGAAAAATTGCAGAAGAAGATGAATTTGACTGTATACAAATTTTATTAATAAATATTTTAATGTTGGGAAATGTCATGAACTAAAATTTGTGAATAAACTGAGAAAATAATTTGTAACAATGTCATACATAAGTTTAATATCTTATATAACGAGCTTTTAAAAATTGGTAAGACATTGTAATTAATCAATATTGGTAACCAAAGAAATCAAAATTAAAATTATTTTTCACATTTCAAATTGAAGAAGATTGAGAATAATCTGTGTTTAGAGCAATTTGATGCTGATGTTAGATTCAAGTAGTACTGGTGATGACATGAATTGATTCGATATTTCCAGGAAGCAATTTGATTATTTGATTTCTGCATGTGTGTGTTTGATTGTAGGAATCTAGCCTGTAAATGTAATAAAAAAAACAATGTGACCAATATTTCTCTGCAAAACACATCATTTGAAAGGAATCATTGAAAATATTGACAAATGTGAAAGGCAATTTTTAGCAACACAGGATTAATTTTATTATTGAACAGCCATTGAAATGAATAATTATTCAATCATTAAACATGGTTTTTGAGAATTTCTCAGACCCTTGGAAAAAGCTCATAATGCAATCCTAAATGTAGAGGTAAAATATTAAACTATCTGTATAATAAGTAATATTTAAACATAGAAAGAATAAATGAAAATACACCAAAGTATATTTTCTCAGTTTTCTACAGTTAGCATTAGTTATTTTTGTAATCTAGGGAGACAAACCATTTAAAACCTGCCCACGAATTTAGAAGGAACAGTGGAGAGATAGCACATAGAAGATATTCAAGTGACCTTTGCTGAAATGATTTGGTTTAAAATGAAATAAGAATCTTGTCATAGTAGAATAATCAAATCTTTGAGTTGGGAGGCCCCTTGTAGGTCACTTGGTCTGGTCATCCACAATAAACCAATCTCTAAGTTTAGACAATTTATTTTGGTATATTCATTGCATGTAACCACCTCTGGACCATGCCAGTATGTTATCTCCTACAGCAGCGCTGCATAACATTGCTTGCAAACCCTTCCCTCTGTTTAGATCTCCTTCCTGCTGGCCTCAAAGTGTACTCTTAAATTTTTTAAAAATTTATTTAATGGTACTATTAGAAAAGAAAACCCTAGGGTGTTAATAACTTCAATACTAAACTACCTGAAAGTTGCAAATGATTGCAAAACAATTGACATATTTATATAATATTTACATTGAGAAAAGACATTCTAATAGCTTAGGGAGATGGCTTGAGAGGATGGAGTCAGTTCTGAGGCAAGGAGATTTAATTAGGAAGCAGTCACTGTAAATTAGATGATGAATGGGAGAACCAAACAATTACAGAAACAATAAAAGCAGATGTGGCATTACATATAACTGATTGGATTTAGAGGATGAAAGTCCACAACTGACTTCGGATTTCTAATTCAGGCCACTGGGTGAAACATGGCTCCTTGAAATACAGAAAGCAGGAGGAGAAGCACGTTTGCAGTTGGGGTGGGGCTGTGGGGTGGAGGTGGGATACAGTGATTATAGTTTTAGACGTGTTATTCTTTCCAAGAAGAGATGTTCAGCAGACTGTTGGCTGCAAAGGTATGGAGCTCAAAAGGAGATCAGGGCTGGAGGTAAAGATGGAAGTTGAATCCATAGGAACATAGAGATTACCCAGGGAGAAAATGTAGCGTAAGTATAGGGCTGTATATGGAATGGATGGTATCAGAGCCAATTAACAATGAAGCAGAGAAAGAAGATTCCACAGAAGTTATTGAGAAGGAGCAAGATAAGAGGTAGGAGAACAGTAAGGCAAATGGCAAAGTGAATTCTCCATGAATCTTTGGAATTGAGGGAGCCCTTTTGTCTTGGTAAAAAACATAATTAACATAATTAAATATGAGCACAAAGAGTGGTAGAGTAGGAGTCATAGAAAAAGTGAAAGAGAATAATGATATTGTCAAGAAGTGTTCTAGCAAGTAAATAATCCCTGTGTTTGAAATGTGTTCTTTTCAGAAACAAAAATATAAATAAATAAAGATTTTTGTGGGAAATTCTACAAAACATGTTTCTTTATTTCTGCCACAGAATGCTGAGCAAACTTTACCCTTTTCTTGGTATATTAGATTTTTTATGCCATGATTATACTGCATAACCAGTCACCAAAAAAATCTCTGCAACATAAAACATTCAGCATTTATTTTCATGTTATCTGCAGGTTGTCATGGTGTCAGCTGATATTGGTTGGGTGTGGCTAGGAGCACTGCTCAGGGACATCTATCTGTCTGGGTGGGCTTTCTGCTGCTTTTGGGCTCTGTTCCTACCTGCAAATATTTATTCTGAGTGCCATGCCGAGGAGGGAGCAGTTATACCTGGGAGACTCTTCTCCTGGAGAAGTAAGATATGTGGGAGAGCAAGTCACTACTTATATCATGTCTGCCGACATTGCAGTAGCCAAAGGAGGTAAATGGATGAGCCCCAAATCAAGAGATGTATCTTCTACTCATGGACGAAAGGCCAAGGGGAAGAGACAAAATATTTTTATGGAATTAGGGCAAGGGAAATAGGTAATATTTCTGAGCAAACATTAGATCTATCACACTTTGAAATTCAGGATCATTATATTAATTACTTCTTGTGCTATGCTTTAGGTAGTCATAGTCACTATAATTGAAGTATATACAGTAATCTGTCCCTGGTTAAATGATTCCTCCTCCTGCTGCTTTCTGTAGCTATAATTTGTTAATGCTGCCACTGTCTATATGACTGCTTTTAAGCCACTGCTTCATTGCACACGGGGCTCTCTGGGTAAAGACCTGAAGGTGATACTCAGCTTGTTAGCAGCACTTTTTCTTCTTGCTTTAATACATTTTCCTGTTATTTTGCATTGCCATAATATTTGGCAGTCTGACATTGGAAGAAAGGGATCATTACTATACTTGCATATTTTGTTTGAATCCCCTTCTCTTAAAAAAGTGGCAAATATAAAGCATTTTCTTTTGGAAAAATGAGTTTTAGTTCCTTCAAAAATTTCTCCATGTATCCACATAATTTGTATTTTCAAAGGGCAACATTGCTCAATTGAGAGATGAAGAGCACTGAATTGCAGAGATTTTTAAAAGTTAATATTTTATATGTATATCCATTCTTGATTCAATTATGAAATATCCCAAACATACAGAACAGAACTTTTCTATTCTTTATGCAATTGAAGGCATCACATTTCATTGAAACAAAAAACACAATTTTCCAGTGAGTTTAACTATTTGCAGTAGGTACCAACTCTTTAGTCATACATCGGCCATTTTCCTATTCACAATCTCCGGGGCCTCTGCACTGCACTTCTATATGATTTATTTCATCTATGTAAAATAGGTTACTTTGGTGTTCTGTACTCTAGTTTTATCCTAAGCAATAAAACCCATGAAGTTGTCAGTTTGAAGTGTGAGGTATACTTATTCTAGGGCACATCAAAATAAATGCATATTTATTAAAATAAAAATGTATATTCTCTACCATCTTAAATATCTAGTTTACAGCTGTCATTACCTGGCATAACATGCATTAGGAAACAGTGTTTTAAGGCTAGCTCTGCCAAAGTATAAACAGAAATATAGTAACTTAGTGAATCAATAATATATTTTGAAAAGAATCATTCACTTTCACTTTTCAATTGTTTTTCAGGTTTGTGGAAGGAGTGCTTAACATTTGTTACAATGCCATCGATCGTCATATTGAAAATGGTAAAGGGGATAAGATTGCTATCATCTATGACAGCCCTGTTACAAATACTAAAGCAACTATTACCTATAAAGAAGTTCTGGAGCAGGTAATATCATAAGCTATTATTTATGTACATTGGAAGTCATTTAAAAATTATTTAAATAGCATACATCCTTGTTGGGTAGCCTTTAATTCTCTTAGCACATTGACATATGTTACCATGTTTTTCTTTGTATGTATGTTGGTAATGGATATAGGTGTGTTAACTCACTTAGACTGTTTCTATCCATTTAATTTACTTGTCATAGTACTACTGAAAGATGCTCATTTTATAGGGAGAAGAGAACAAATCTTAACGATATGTTTAAATCTTCTCTGGCCTTCGTTCTCTATCCACGCTGCCATCACTTTAGTCCATCTGCTCCTCAGCTCTTTTACTTTTGAAGCAGTCTCATCTCTGCTTTCCTATTACCAGTCTACGCTCACGTTATTATGGATTAGCATTTCAAGTGCCTCCGGAGTTTTCTTCCTAAGAAACAATGTACTTCTCTACCCCATTTAAAAATCTTTTTCTTAAAAAATTCTATTATTCAGGGAGTAAAATATACTTTGGTGTATAAGACACTTTGGATTCTGGTCACAGCATTCCTTCTAAGCTGCATTTCCCAACAGTCTTGGCTGTGCACACAACCCTTTTTCACCCTGGATGTCCTGTCATTCCCTCAGACGCTCCTGGCCCTTGGCAGCTCTTTGCATATGCTCATTCTTTTGCCTTATTTTCTCTTTTTAGTTTTTTCCTACCTGTGTAGTTCTTAAGTAAATCGTGATATTAACAGATGAGTTATAAGATTTTTCTTTCAAAAGTAATTGTAAAAGTATGTGAGTGTTGTGGACTATGGGAAAGTTATTTAAACTCTGTGGAACATTAATTTATATATGATTTCAAGGGAGATAATGGTGCAGGGCAGGGTTTCTCAGCCTTGACACTATTGACGTTTTGGATCGGATAATACTGTGTTGTAGGGGATGTCATGTACATTGCAGAATGTTTAGCAACACCGCTGACTTCTACCTACTAGTGGTGGCCCATAGCACCTCTCCCTGAGTTGTGATTTCTCCAAACACTGCAAATGTCCTCTTGGTAGCAAAATTTCTACTGGTTGACAAGCAGTAGTTGAGCAGAATCTAGGGTTTAGAAGTGTTTGCTTTTATTTATTTTATTATTTATTTCAGCATATTATGGGGGTACAAATGTTAAGGTTACGTATATTGCCCATGCTGCCCCTAAGTGTTTTCTTTTAAATGAAGGCTTTTTGAATTGCATTCTCTTCTTTTGCTTTTTGAACCCATTTAAGAGTTCTGCTCGAGTTTTAGAAAGTTTGGTCAACTCTCCCTGATTTTTGGAAGTTATATACTTTTTGCATCAGCAAATTCTTGATTAGCCTTATATTTCAAGAAAGCCAACTCAGACAAAACAATTAGCTTCCCAATCCTGAGTTGTTGCAAACAGGAGAGAAAAGATAAGTCAGCTTGCTCAGGCTGGCTATCAGCCTAGTTATAGCAACAAAGTTCAACTTACACTGATTTAAACATAGAATGTATGAAAAGAGAAGACTTAAGAGCCAGACTCAGAAAAGTGGCCCACACTGAGGGAGAAAGGGTAAGCAGAAAGAATTAAGAAAAACCCACAAATTGTTAATAGTAACTAGACTTGCTGCCTTGAGTCAATCTTTTTCTAGGTTGAAAGACAGAGTAGGGTCATCTAGTTGGCCAAACTTAGGTCACTTGCCTAAAATGCCAGGCAGTGAGGAGGAAATATCTTGTCCTCTTTTGATTTTATAGTAGGAATTAGGGCCCTGCCTCCCTATAGGATACATTCAAGAAGTATTCCAATCTAATAAGGGTGGAGTTCAAATGTTAGGCAGCCCAAGACAGAAAAAAAAACAAAAGAAAAGAATGCTGTAGATATATTGTTTGTTATCTTTTATTGGTCTGTAGGTGGGAACTGTGCATTTTGAGAATGAAATATAGAGACGGAGCTTACATTGGAGCTGAGTAGGGAAGGTACTTCATTACCAAATGAGCTTTTCATTCATATGAGGCTGTGTTTTATTGTAGGAGATAATGTAAATTTCCTGAAAACCTACTATACTTCATGTTTTATTTTAGGTTTGAATTTTCAGCTTTTAGAAGAGTTTCAGCTTTTAGAATTTTCAGCTTTTAGTCTGTGATGAAAATCTTATTCCTATGATTTAGGCATATTGCCACAGTCTCATTTTATGAATGTGAAAGCCTAAGATACTGGTATATAAATTAGGAAGTTTATTTAAATATTATAAAAATGTTATCTGTGTCAACATATGGAATTTGATACATAACCAAACATTAGAGTTAAAGAAAAGCTTTAGAGAAACCTAAAATAAGAATTGTTACCATTTTCAGTTTCTATTGCTTTCTTTTTAAATTTATTAATTACGTAAATTTATACAATACTTATACACATATGTTTTACTTAGAAGTTTTTCTGCTAACTCATCTTGATTTTCTAATATTGATTCTAGACTCTTAGACCCTTTTAACATTTGTACTGGTTCATCCATTTCAGTTTAGCCTGACATCAAAGTACTTAAAAGGATTGTTTCTCTCACCTGCTGACAGCCTCTGATTCCCCAGGCTTTTCTTCTCTAAAGTACTAAAAGAAGAATTGTTAGGAAAGAGAGAGAAGCACTGTGTGCTACTTTGATTACCTGCTCCTGGTTCCCTGTGGCCTTTATTTTATTAAGTAGAGAAGACAGAGAAAGAAAGATTTAATGGGTAATGCCATTGAGAACAAACATAAAGAAGTGCCTTTGTACCTTACTTATTTCAGTCTCCAATGTTTCATTTCTACTGGGAGTTCCTGGTTGGGTAAAACTTTATTAACTTAGTATTTCTTATTTAATTAGTGGGCCCAAATTTTTAGCTAATTGTCTTAATGACATGAAAGATCTGAAAATTTTACAGAATGATTCAAGAGCATAGTCTTTCCAAAACTGTCATCTTTTCTGTAGATCTGAGTATTTTAAATAACCTTTTATTAAAGATTTTCTATAGAGATTAACCTAGTTCAAGATTTATCATTCACCAACAGATATTCATTTTGTATGCAAACCCTGATAGGAACAAGGGATTCAAGGTAAATGGACTCATCCCCTGTCTTCAAGGAGCAAAGAAAACATGTGAACAGTCAATTTCAATGTAACAAAATAAAGATCATGAAAGGGTTTAGTGTTGTATTCTGTGGAAGCACATGTGAGGCACCAACTCAGCTCGGAGTAAATAGAATCTAGGGAGGTTTCTGGAAGAGCCAATGCCTATTAATAAATTAGCCTAATTGCGAAACTTTGATACATTTTTTCAAGATATCTCATGGTTCATGTTACCCGAGTATTATGTTCTCAGTGAGATCTTTCCTGACCATACTAAATAAAAATGTTCCTGTCCATACCATTTTATATGTCCTGTAGAACTTAGATTTATTTCCCAGGATCATTCCTTATATTTTATTTATCTCTATTCTTTAATTTGTTCCTCTTCTGGAATGTAAGTTCCATGAGGGCAAGGATTTTTGATTTGTTCACAGAACAGTGCCTGGCAATTAGTAACTATTTGTTGAATGAGGAGTGAATGAATGAAATACCTTTTGAAATTTCTAATTGACTCTAGCTTCCTTTATTGCAGGAAGTTGTTATCTCTGAATTTATCAGTAATAGAACTGGATCATCATTCCAAGTAAATTCAACTTTTGTGAAGAATTTAATTTATTTACATTCAGCTTGGTAGTTCAAGATTTCCTTCTTGAATTTTCACACTTAAATCTGCATTCTAGGACATTGGTGGTTTATTGTATCCCTCCCTTGTTAGCTCTTTTCCAGTTAGTAGTTATATTAACTATGTAAAATAAAGGGGATGCACGTATAAGAGATTGTGTTGTATATGTATTTGTACATTATTTACAATATTACTCATTTTAATTATCCTATATTAAATTTATTTTCTGCATCCATAGTTTTATTTTGAATTTACCTCTATGTGTGGCAATGTGATCTTTTAGTACTTCAGCAATTATAATTTTTATCCATTTATTCACTAAATTAAATTGTGACCCCTGAAGAGTATTAGAGAAATTTTCATGACTATATCATACTACTGAAAAATTGATAAAACCCAGTGTGTGCTAAATTTTTTCTGGATTTCTTCAAACAAAAGTTGTCTATTATCTCTTCTAAAAAGGTATTTTTTTGACATTATATTATGATGACATTATGAAGGTGAATAGTTTAGAAAAAAATTAACTCTGAACAAGGCTATGCCATGAGGGAACTCCTTCCTTGCAAGTTCCTTGCCATTTGAAGCATTACTCTCTTTTTAAAATATTGCATTCTAATTTACTGACTTTAGAAAACATAGTCAGGGTAAACAGATAAAATCTTGAGAATTCTCTTTTTAATCTGTTCTATAATTTATATCTTTTTCCCTAACGGCAGGATCTTTCCCTAAAGCACATAAACACCAGGAAAACATGGCGGAAATCAGCCCAAGTCATGGTTCTCTTCGTTAAAAGGGGAAAAAAAATATAGAGTGTTCTCTTGTCTGTTTTCTTTCTAAAAATTTCTAAATAAAAAAAAAAAAGTAAAAAAAAATTTCATTCTATTATATCAGCTCCAATTAGAAGCATATCTTCTTGTAAGGTTAATTAACCTTTTTCCATTGCTGGTGAAATACTGAAATGATGTTATGTATTGAGATTGAAAAAGTAATTTGTAAAATCATGCTTTTTTTTTTTCAGGGATTTGAAAAAATTTTTTGAACTTTTATGAATATGGTATTATTACAATTTTCAAAGATTAAAGGAAAACATTATAATATAATTTTGTTATGTTTTCCCCAAACAAAGAATACACCATGTAACCCAAAGATAAAAAAATAAGAATAATTTCCAGCCCCTAAGGGAAAAGGCGTTTTATGGCCTCTGTTAAAAGTTCACTTCAAAGCCCCACCATGATTTTTTGTATTTTGGATACTTCTAAAAAACCAGTTTACGTTGCTTTTTGGAGCATATATATA